GTCTCCTCTGCAATTTTGCCAATAGAAATTGCTTCCACTGAATGAAGACATTAGACCTTGCTTTGCTAAATTTCACTATTCCCAGGTGAAATCACAGCCATTTTGTATCAAACGTGAAGTTTTGCTTTGATTCTATAACTTGGTTGCTATTAAAACTGCTTTTTTAAACATTTTTTTTTGTTTCTTGATTGTAATCAGTAAAGAAGACTTGGCTAATGATGTATAAAGCATTTGAGGAGAAAATAAGTCATGCTAGAACTCCTGATTTCACCTAAACCTGGATATAGCCAAGCATACATCTTAGACAGATTTTAATAAACTTCAATTATTGATAAGTAGAATTCCATAGTAAGAGATCATTCATGGAAAAGAATCTCAACATTGGTCAGTGTTTCTTTAAAAAAAGAAAGAAAAGGAAATATAAGCATAATTACAGGAAGTTCCAATGAAGGGGGAAGATGAACATTCACAACAATTTGGGGTCATTGAGGAAGATAAGATGAGTCTTCAATTGAGTTGGACTTCTAATATCTTATGTGGCCACATCCCTGCAAAATATTCTTTAAAGAAATGTAAAGAAAATAAATTTAGCAGAGATAAATGGAGAATTCTCTTAGGAAATAATACCACAAGTAAATGTTCAGGTTGGAGACGGATATTTATTCTTGGCAATACGTATTACTTGTGGAAAAGAGTTTTCAACAGAAATTGATTATGAACTGAATATGAGTCAATAGCAAGATGTAGCCAAAATAATAAATAAATGCAGATTCAATATTTCCAATAGGAATAGTGTTGCCAAATCATAGAAAGTCGTAATTCCACCATTCTGCATTTGTTAGATTCTGCCCTGAATATTGTGTCTGGTTCTGGCTGCATGTTAAGAATTCAGTGAGACTTGCTATGATAAAAGTTCTAGAAACTGTATTTCATAGTCTTCATCATAATCATAACTACTACTTCATTTCTTAAAATGCTGGTTTTTAAATTATTATATTTTAAAAAATTTATAGCAAAGGCTGTGATGACTGTATTTATTTTCAAATAATTAGTGTCACGTTCATCAACCAAAATATCCAGAAGTTTGTTTTTGTAGGATTTTCTGGCTTCATTATTGCTAGCATTCTTCAGTTCTGTTCCAGAATAATTAATCTTGTGAAGTCTTTGTTTTTTCACTTTGATCTCCATGTTCCCCCGCCCCCCATGTCTTATAAGATTTATTTCTTTATATTAGTTCACTATGAAAGGCATAGATTGACTTAAAATAAAAAGGGCAAGCCTGTTTTATGTATTTTATAAAGAGCACAGCAAGTTCACGATAACATACTAATTATATTTAGCTATTAAATAAAAATGTGGGGTTCTAGGACCTTAAAGAATGGGGATGGACCTGTGGGTTTTTCATAAGATGTGCTGCTGAGTATTTCTTAGTTTTGTCAGATTTTCAGAATTTCAGAACCATTCCTAAATTTTCACTGGCTTAATGGGAATGCCATATTGAACCAGCATAGCTATTGTCTGGTTACTGGTGCCTAAAAGCATAGATTTTAGGCAGTTAATGTGGAGGTTTTTGTAAGTGGAAAAAGAACTGCTGATTCTTTCTTATCTGTCCTATATTCAAACCACTCCTTTAAACATTTTCTGGTTCAGAAAGATCTTGCCCTATGTGAAGGAGGCTGGGACAATTATTGTCAACCAAAACAATACCTGCCTGGGAGATCCAGTTTGAGCTTCGGCGACAGACCGAAATCTGTGATTGTGCTCATCGCTGGAGCGCCGAGAGCCGGCTGGTTTCGGGGCTAAGCCACCCTGTAGAGGTGGTGAAGGGGTGGGGGGAGACTGTCAGCAGGGTTGAGGAGAGCCGCATCTCTCCTCCCCAGCTGGCCATTACTCCCTTTCCCGAAGGCGGTTGTAGTGGTGGCCAGAAATGGCCACCTCAAAGAAGAACTTGACCAGAAAAGAATGTGCAGGAGGAAGATAAGAAAATTTTGGGCTGACTAGGTCGAACTGGAAAAACAACAGTACAAGATACTCTGGAATTTGAATTATAAAGAACAGCATTGTTCCCAAAGAAGACTTTGAAGCGGCAAATGAGAGAGGGAAGGGAAAGGATTTGGGTTTTTTTTTTCCTTCCCTATATTGACAAAGAGATTTAAGCAAGAAATCAGCAAAAATCCACTTTGACAGTAACAGGTATTTAAACTGAAAATAAAATGTCAAAGGGATAATTTCAGGATTCTCAAAAACTTTTAAAAGAAGGAAAAAACAAAAGGGCGGGATCTGGAAAAAGGGAGGAGACCACCTGGAAGTGAAAGGAATTAACAGTGAAACTTTAACAAGATTCCTAAAAGATACATTTTAACTGAAACTTTGTAACAAGATAAAGAGAACCCCAGGAAGAGAAAGTGGAAAAAAGAAGCAAGAAGAAACAGCTTTGGATTATTTGGATTACTTGGTGATTTTTGGATTTTTGGCTATTGGATTTAAAGGTCTAAAATTAATCGGGTGGTTGTTTAAACGTTTTTAAAATGGTATCACTCTTGGCAGAATTGAGAATGGAATTTAAAAAGCAGAAAGAAGATGCACAAGAAGGAAGAGGTTCTTTTGGCTTCGTATTTCAATTTTTAGAAATGGAGATCCTGAACTATGAGAAACAACAAGAAATGCCTGTAGAACAAGAAGAGCGGGACAAAGAAGAAGCCATCTTCAATGACCAAGTATTTCTATGTGGGGAAAAGAAAAAAAAGGGGGGAAAGAGAGTGAAAAAATTAAGATTTGAAAAAACAACCCCAAAAAAGAATAGTTTGAAAAGTAATTATAACATTAGGAAGAAACAGAAGAGAGGATTACAGAAGAAAGAATCAGAATTAGAGAGAGAAGGGGTCAAAAAGGGAAGGGAGAAGAAGAGGGAGAAGAGGGAAAGGAAAAGAAATTATAAAGAACCAGGACATAAGAGAAACAGGGAAAATGTACAAGACACAGAGATAATGGGTGAAAACTTAATTGAAAGGGGGATTCTGCAAAGGTACATAAGATAGTATTGTTATATTAGAAATAGAAATGAACTTTGAAAATATGAAAGAGGTGTGATTAAAATGATAGAGAAAATACTCATTGTAATGTAATGGAATGTTTAATAAATGAAAGAGAATGAGAGAATGAAATTAGGAGAGGGGAACATTTTAATTATTATAAATGTGTTATAAAAATTTAAGTGAAAAGGAATATGAAAGAAACATGAAAAAAATATGGAAATATTATAAGTGTTCCTAGAAGTATGATATCCTATTGAAAAGGAATGTTAAAGATGTCAAAGATTATAACTAACATTAATGATAGAGCTGAATTGGAATAGAATAAGTATTTTATTTATTATTGTTACATATATATTTTCTCTTTAAGAACTTCGTGCATATTTTAAGAATGTACCAAGCAGAATAGACTGGAAGTTATGTGTTATATTGAATGTTATAATTGTAAAGGCATAAATTGAAGTTTAAGAGTTGAATGGATACAAATTAAAAGATACAAAGGTGTCATACTCCAATTAGTAACTACAGGGGAAAATTTTGTTTAATGAGAAAAGAAAATATGAAATTGAAACAGAATAGATAAAAGTGTAAATATAATGACTAGAAAGGTATTGAAACTTAGAAAAAGATATATATATATAATTGAATTTAGAAAGGAATGAGATAATTAAAAGTAAGATTGAGAAAACTAAGGGAAGGGAAAAAATATTGAGAAAATGTTAAAATAGTAATAAGATTTGGAATAGAACACAAAGATGAATATGAAATTGAATTTGTGTCTGTATGGAGAAGTGATAACCCAGGACCATGCTATTCTCAAAAAAAGAAATTTTACTTGTATTATGTTTTGTGAAAACCCAAATAAATTTTTTATTAAAAAAAAACAATACCTGCCTGAAAATTAAATACAATGGAACCAAATTTGATGTGAGGGAAGAAACCAAATAAAGTTTGATTGAGCTTAGAAAAAAACTGGGGGCTATGGAGAAAAACTGGGGGCTATGGAGAAAAAAAAAATTATTTCTATGATTCTGTATTGGAGAGGCAATTTGGAAGGCAGTATTTCTCAACTTTGGTGAGTATAATAAGACGGGTGGACTTCGATTCCCAGAATTCTCCAGCCATCCTTGCTTGAGAAATACCAGCTCTGGGAAAGCAAAGGGCAAAATAAAAAGAAAGAAAGGAATCAAATAACTGTTGCCTAAACAACAGAAGGTGCCAGTAGCTCCTTAGGACTAACCACATAATTTCTAATTAAAGATGGAGGACTTTTAGTAAGGTCTTTGAATAAAGGGAAACAATTTGTCATATACTCTCCATTCAAACAACATTATTGTTAAGTGAAATGCTAACTGTTTAAAATCAGACGATCCTGGGCTGAATGAGAGGCTGAATATAGTACCCAACTCCTTGATTACTATGCGGATAAGAAAAGAACTGAAGATAAAAGATAATGCCAAAGCTGAAGATAAAAGATAAAGTCAAATAACAAGTGTCAAATTCTTTTTGCTTTGTTTTTTTGATGGCAGCAATGAGTTTTTAAAGGATAGACATTCAATCAATGATCAGTACAGTAAAAATTCATATTGTATTTACCCCAGTAGTAGATATAAAAGAAACGTCACTCTTACTCTAATAAATTGATTTGCCACATCTAGTTTATCAGCTAATGTAACATTAGCAATAAAAGAAAAACTGTAATATTTATTGTTGTCATATTAAAAAAAAATTCTGCCAAAGTTTGAAGGAACCAAATAATTTAAAAAAAACAGTTTCAGAAATGCAGACTGAAAATGAACTGGGGCAAAGACCTACCTTTTATCCTTAGATAAAATTCAATATCTGAGAGAGAAAATATGTTAGATATATTATATATAGAATTTCTCATGTCACTAATTTCAAAATATAGAATAGTAGATTCAGAATTTTAACAACTTTTTCATCAGAATATTTTTTTAAAACTTGCAGGTGTGGGCATTGCCAGAGTCTCCAGCCAACGTGGAATGAACTTGCAGATAAATACAACAACATGGATAATCCACAGGTCTATGTTGTAAAAGTGGACTGCACTGCAGATACTCCATTGTGTTCTGAACATAGTGTCAGGGGATACCCAACGTACGTGTAAAAAAATAATACTCACTTTATGTGTTTTCCCTCAACTCTTTATTAAGAGAGCTTCTGAGTGTTTGTTTGGTAAATTCATGACATTCTATGTTTGTATTAATTCCATCCCCTTCTTTGAATATACCATGTAAGTAGCAATAGTTTATGCAACTGTAAAATCAGAGTACCTGCAAAAGTCTCCTAATGTCTGTTGCTTTAATTATTTCACTCATGGTAGGAAAAGCAGTATGGTGATATAAGATGAGCATGCAATATTTTCATTACTGACCCTTTGCAGCATATTGTAAACAAATGTGTTTCTACCTGGTAGGCACAGCTGTGCAAATATACCACAACAGTTTTATAAGCAGCAGAAAGTAGATGAATTGCTCTAATAGACTAGGACAAAAAAAAAAGTGTTAACCATTTTCTTACATTAAGAAACTGTTGCTAAATCAAGATCAAAACAGTGGGGAGCCAGGAAGTTTAGGGTGTAATTCCAAAGCTGTAAGGTTCTTAGCATGAGCTAGTCAGCAGAAATATTCTGCTCTAAAGACTCCGCTCTCTTTTGTAGAAGTTTTATGAATTCATCCTGGCCAAACTGCGTTTGATGACATCATGTTCTCCGTTTTGCATTTATAGTAAATTATCCACTACTTTATTAGCAAACCACAGATAGAAGAATTTGACATGTAGCAGCAGATCACACTTAGTTCTTGAGAGCTGTATTTTTAAAATCTATTATTTTTATAATTCCTAATATAAGAGTGTTTTTCACTTAGAGAGTTAACAGCTTAACTTCCAGTTTGGCTTACCTTGCAAGCCAAATAAATACCAGAGCAGATCTGGTTTATCTCTGCCATTTTTTTCAGGCATTCTGTTCCCATTTTAAAATATTTTCTAAGAAAGATACAAACACCTAATGGGGAAATGCATAATGAATCCAGAGTCTGAGAAAAAAAAAGGGGAATATGGCTACTTTAATAAAATCATAGGCAACTATCATTTCCCTTGTAAACTTAATAGCTTTGTTGAGAGCCGAAGAATACATACTTTGTTTTAGGGACAAATAAAGTTTATTGGTAGTGTGTTCATGTTTTTGAAAGTCTACAGAACAATGGCAGTTTAAATTCGGAAAGTCCAAGGCTATGCTATTGAAATTAACGGAAATGTTAGAATTAATGTTAATAAACCATTGTGAAGCAAGTTGTTTGGGATCCGATATGATGGTTGTTCTAAAAATGTTTCAAGTTTAAATGACTATGAACTTACTTTGCTTGTTGTTTTCTTAAATTTGCAGTCTAAAATTACTAAGACAACACCAAGAAGATGCAAAATATCAGGGACCTAGAGAACTTGAGTCACTAGAGAAATGGATGTTGAAGAAATTAAAAGAGGGCTCTGAGGTAAGTAATCAGAAACAGTCCTTATTCAAGAGACAATATATAGTTGAACTGTTAAAGGATGCCAGTAGAGCAGTGCTTACATTTCTGGAACAAAATTTTATGAGCCCAGGAATCTTATCTTTATGGAGATGTGAGAAGAATATTGAAAGAGAAATTGCTTTGGCTAAAATTCAGGGGAACTTGAACACAGGTTTTATTGTCTTCATGATAATTGGAGGAGGGTGCTTAGAAATTGAAATAAAAAAAAATTGACCCATTGTTTTCTTTATTGGACCAAAATCAGATTACTTATATGTATGCATGAAGAAAATTTCTCCCCTGAGGAACTGCTTCTGCTGTCAGCCTTTCTTTATTTTTCTTGAAATATGGCAATTTCTGGATTTTAATTTAGTGGTTTAGAACAGAAGAACAGAGTTGGAAGGGACCTTGAAGGTCTTCTAGTCCAATCCCCTGCTCAGGCAGGAAACCCTATACCACTTCAGACAAATGGTTATCCAACATATTTTTAAAAACTTCCAGTTTTGGAGCATTTACAACTTCTGGAGGCAAGTTGTTCCACTGATTAATTTTTCTGACTGTTAGGAAGTGTCTCCTTAGTTCTAAATTACTTCTCTCCTTGATGAGTTTCCACCCATTGCTTCTTGTCCTGCCCTCAGGGGCTTTGGATAATAGGTTGACTCCCTCTTCTTTGTGGCAGCCCCTGAGATATCGGAACACTGCTATCATGTCACCCCTTTCCTCAACCTCACTCCCTATAGCTATGCCTGCCTAAGTTGGACAGGGAATTCTGGGTGATGTGGTCCTAGGATATCAATTTGTGAAAAATATGTTGTAGTGAAAGATTATGTCTTCATTTTTAATCATGCCAAAATTTTGTGTTTTTGTTAGGGAGATATTGTCTCTCTCTCTTCTTTTTCTTCTCTCGTCTCTGTCTGTTTCTCTCTCTCTCTCTCTCTCTCTCTCTCTCTCTCTCATACACTCAAACAAACTAGACACACCTACACACAGACACAAATTGTAATGTTTATTGTTAACATGGATAGTTAATAGTTTTATTATGTAAATAGCAATATAACTACAGGTAAACTTGACCTATAATTGCAACAGAACTTGGAATTGCAGTCGTAAGTCAAGGCACAACGTGATTGAATGTGATTTTATTACCATTCTTACAACAGTTGTAAAACAGATCATATGATTGTTAAGCAAATTCATTATTCCAAATGGTCAAACTGACAAAAAAGTTGTCAACCACAATCATGAGAGCATGGCAGTTGTCAATCTGAGCTGGTTGCCAAGTGCCCAAAATGTGATCACGTGACTGGGAGTAGGGAGCAGTAGTCGTAAGGTCCAGTATTTCAAGCATGGATCGTAAGAACATTTTTTTAAGTCTTTTGTAGCTTTGAATGGTTGTTAAAAAACCTATCATAAATCTAGGACTACCTGTAACTCTTAATCTTTTTGAAATTTAAGCATGCTACTTTCTATGTTCTTTTTCTTGTTGCTAAATATAAGGAGGAAGTACCTAAATTGAAGCCATCAAAAGCACCTGATACAAAGCAAGGTCTTTATGAGCTCTCAGCAGCTAATTTCAAGCAACATGTAGCAGAAGGTAATTGTATTTATTGATGATTGATTGATTGATCAAATTAAAGAGAATATTTGTGGCTCAGGATTGAAATGCGGGGTCCTTGGTGCTCTCTGAGCTTCGTTGTTTTCTTGCAGACATTTCATTATCCAAACTAGGTAATATATCATGAGTGCTAGTAAGGAATGGGATTTCCTCTCAATTTATATTTTAGTGGATTGCACTATCAGTGTTGGTGGTAGTGGTCTTGGGGGTTCTTTGGTTGGGTCGTTTGACAATTCCTTGATTGTGGTATTGTATACTACTTGATTGTTGATTTGATGTTGATCCCACAGGTGTACCTTTAATTTGTTGGCAAGTATGTCCATCGAATTGAAAGCATATCGTTAAGCTTAGTTTGAAAAGATCACTTTCAAGTCCCTTAGCGGAGGGTAATGCAACATCTAGGATCAATAGCAAACCTACAAATACAACACAAATATGGATCAGATATGTAGTTGACACCTTCTCCATAATAAAAAAAACCGACCACTTAGAGAACACCCACACTACCATTAACATGTTCAATGGAATCCAATTCACTCGTGAAGAAGAAACTCACTACAACTCACTACCTGCTGATCAGGATATCCTGATCAGCAGACAATGATGCCAAACTAGAAACACAAATGTACCTAAAAATCACCCACACCAATCAATTTAATGCTCCGCTACCAAAGCAATAACTCAACCTCCCACAAGAGATGCTATTTAGGAACTCTATTCAGATGACCACAAGCATACTGCAGCAACCCTAAACAGCAGAAAGGGGAAATAGATCAGCTATACAACATCTTCCAACAAAATGGCAATTTCATCAAAAAGTGCCTGGCCATTCAATCCAATATAGCATAACCAACACAAGGTGTAAAAAGGATAATAATGCCATTATCAAAAACATCTCATAAATCACAAATAAACTATTAAAACCATAGGGAACCAACTAAAGCCCTTCAAAACATCCTAAGTAAACCAAAAGACTCACCAGCCCCAGAAGAAAAAACAGGATTTGCCTACAACATACAATTTAAAGACTGCAACCGCCACTGTGTAGGACAAATAGGCAGAAGATTAACAGAACATATCTGCACATCAGCTAGCAGTCAGAAGACACGATGGAAAGTCTTTAATTTCACAACATATGGACACACTTAACCATAGTTTCAACTGGGAACGTGACCATTCTAGGCCAAGCTAAGTCCAAAAACGTTAAAGAATTCCTGGAAACCTGGCAGTCTGATAAATTGCCCATCAATAGACACATAGATATAAACAACATGTACATACTGCCAAAGAATAAATCAACAAGCCAAAAAGGGAACAAAAGACCTAAACACCTCCCCACCAGTAATTAACATCCAGATGAGCATAGTTTAACTCCCAAGATTAACATCAACACTCAAGAAGTAAACAGTATCCCAATCAAGGAACTGCCAACAAGCTAACAGTAAAGAGCCCAACCAAAGAACCTCCAAGACCATTCCAACCAACATTGACAGGACAAGCCACTAGAATTGTGAGCAAGCAGCATTCTTTACTAGCTGTTACCTTGTTTGGGTAATGAAATATCTGCAAGAAAACAACCAAGCTCAGAGAGTACTAAATGCCCTCATTTATCAAATGTATGTAGTGATCGTTGATACTGAACATTTTTAATGTTTTATTTTAAAGAACTTTTAATTTATAATATCCCATAATGAAAAAAATTCGGACCAGACAGAATTGTGATGCAGGCCTTCCATAATCTGATTAATAGTATGATTGTAGCAGTTTCTGCATGATTGGAACATTAAACAATGTTACATTCTATGAGTTGTGCTGACCTGTAGTCTATTTTAAACCTATAATGGTGATTAATCCTCATTTCTCAGCTAAAGGCTGGAGTGGGAGCAACGGCTGGCTATTCTGTGGTGTGAATGGCAGTTCAGTTCCAAATGATGTTCTGAAGGGCTTTTCTACTTTATTAAATCTATGCCACCCAATAAATTATTAGTTGCAACATTGGTTGGAAAAGATTTTATTTCCAGTACCTTCCTCTGCTGAGAATTCATCAGCTGCTGTCATCCACCCAAGCAGATCTATAAGATTTAAAGAGGAATGTAATTGGAAGTTTGATGAAAAGTTTTGGAATTAAGCTACATTAGCAAGTGTTAATTTCTGCTATTTGAAGAAGCCTTGACTGAGAACTTTGAAAAGAAATATATCATTATAAGGCAGGCGTCTCTGGGCCACGGCCACTAACGGACCTTGAGCCATTCAGAACCAAGCCGCGAAGTGGCTGGCAAGCATCCCCACTTGAGCGATCTGCTAGTGATTGTGTAGCACACTCCATTTTAGTGCTTTTAGTGAATTATTAGGATGGAGAAATCCAGAGTAAATTATTGAGAGTATTAAGTATAAAACTTGAAGCTTAGTGTGTAATACAGGAAATCAAAGTGTGCTTCTTTGGGAATGAAAATCTAAATGCAGTATAAGCCTCTTCTTGAAGCTGTACTGCATAAAGAGGGATATGTAATAACTAAATGAATGAATAAAGTCTGCTTTGTGTGAATACTGCAGCCCTTCTTTTCTTTTAAAGGCAATCACTTCATCAAATTCTATGCCCCTTGGTGTGGCCACTGCAAAGCATTGGCACCTACTTGGGAACAGTTGTCTCTCTCCCTTGAACGGTCGAAGTCCGTCAAGATTGGAAAGGTAAGTTTGATCGGCAAGATAGTTCAGTCTTCTTAAATTGAAAATGAATTACTCTGGGAGTAGCACTGACCCCCCAAAAAGAACACCGTTTGCTTCATAGACCTACAATTAGCAGTATCAATTCCCATTTTGGAATCTGTCATGCAAGCTATTCACCCACCATAAGTCCTGAATTTACTGGAGTCTTGTGTGTTAGTCAAAATGCATTTGCTTGTTCATTTGCATGAGATTGATTGAGTCTTCAGCTTCCTGAGAAGTAGCTTTAGCCAGCTTTAGTTTATTCTGGAAAAATTTGTACCTTTTGTAAGAAATCTCATGAGTAGTTAATACAGAGACACGGGTATCATAGGCTTTGTTATTTTAAAGAAGAAATAGGCCAGTCCTGCAGCTTACTTTTATGACAGAATGGCACAATTATTCCCTTTTTGGCTTGTTGATTTATTCTTTGGCAGTGTGTATATGTTGTTTATATCTATGTGTCTATTGATGGGCAGAACATTGTAGGCATTTGCTGGTAGGTATTGAAACAACTGAAAGGAGTACAGTTATATTGTTGGCTTGTGATGGGGGGAAAACCTGCTGATACTCTTGAATATTCAATCGGGTGTACTGTTAAAAAGTGAAAAGAAATTATCAGCCATATGTAAGAAAGCCCCCTTAAAAAATTGTTTACCTTTTTTAAAAAAATGCAGTTTGGGGCTGGTAAACCTTTTTTCTGCTAACTTATTTTTCGTGTTTCATGTTGCTCCTCGCCTATTTTCTTTCTTATTGAGTCACTTTTTAAAGCCATGTTGTTTCAGAATTATAGTCCTAAGGACTAGCCTGGGAAAAACTGCTTTAAAATATATTTATTTAATTTATTATATTTCCATTGAGTCTAATGGGCTTAAAAATATTATTTGCTTGACCTGACTATCCGATCTCATTTCATCAGCGCACAGTAGAACTCTGGTCACGAACGCTTATGATCACAACCTAATCAGGTTCTGACCCCAAAATTCACAATTTTTCCCCCTGCGGCCAATTTCCTTCTGCACCATTTTTTTGTAAGCACCAAATTTTCAAAATTAGGTTTGGATTACAACCAAATTGGGTTGTGACCAAAGTTATGGAACGAATTATGGTCGTGACCAGAGGTTCTACTGCATTAGGAACAGAGAAATAATTGCCTTTAAAGTAAATGAATTAATTTTTTCTCCTCCCTGCTTTGGTCATATAGAAATAATTTATGTACTTAATAAATTTAGATACTCAAGAGTTAACTAGAGTTGAGCATGCATCAAATGCATGCATGGTTGCATGGATACATACATACATACTGCAGCTGATAATTCAACAACTCTGCTTCTGATATTCTCAAGGTTTAGAGTATTCCTGCTATGAAAAATGGGGTGGCTCATTTCATTTTTATGAAAGTTTTTGGTTATTTCCCCTTTTTTTCTAATTTCAAAATTAAGATTTTTTTTAAAAAAAATTAATTCATAGATTGCTACTGTTTCTTTTTCCTACTCATTTTTCTGATTTTCTACCCTGGTTTATCTTTCTCCATACCTCTAGTTCTTATTCTTAATTATTTCCTATGTATGATTCCTTACTTAACGTTTTCCTTGTCTTCAAGATTTGCTCTCATTATCCCTTTTTTACTCTGATAAAATTCTACTAATTACATTTTAAATTGTACTGTTGTGTAGTTCACATCTTAATCTTGATTGTTTGGCTGCCAACTTTTCTGTTCAGTTCCTATCATTACTTTTGTTGGATGCCATAAGTGCTGAAGGAGGCTGACAAAATACACAACAGCCAGTCATCTTTCTTCTCAGACCTTGCCCTTCTTCACTCAGTTATAAGGAAGATTGATTCTCTTTGAACCTCTTTGGCACTTTTTTATGTCCTCTGCAGAGGAAGACAATGGTAGACATATTAGTTTGAGCAGCGCTCTTAAATACCGTCTGAAAATATTAGGTGATATAAAATATAGCAATTACAGAAATAACAAAAACTGGGTATTAGGATTATATCATCCCAATATTTCAGTCTCTCTCAGCTCATTTCAGGATCCATTTCAGGTAGAAACTGTCTTCCATTGTTTGGGGTCACAGAATCTTATTTTGCATATTCCACCAAGCCCTGGAATCATCTTTTGAGAGTTTTCTCTGTATGCCCACCCATTCAGATTGAGGTTTAGGGTGCAGCTGCTATGAATATGCATGCACTCAGAGCTGTCTTGCAGATTCCCCAGAAAGACATATCTTTTTTCTTACTTTCTAGGCCAAAGCAACGATCTATTTTATTCCCCCAAACCCTATAACTTTAAATTAAACATGTAATCTTTACCTACTCTTCTAGATAATCTTACTTTTTATGTTTCAGTTTGTGCCATTAGTTTAAATTGTTTCCTTTAATAATTTTAAGTTGTTCCTAAATATTTAGAGTACAGTTTTTATTATGGTGTTTATGTATTGATTGGTCTTGAGAGAGATTTTATTCTGTTTAATGTCTCTAATTATCTTAATTGTGTCACATCAGAAGAACTATTATCAGCTCTTATTCTCTTTGATTGTTTACCATTTGAAACAGTTTTTCATGTTTTATTCCTTTGCTTCATTTTCTGAAGTTTATTGACATTTTCTTGGTTTCCCTCCAATCGTTACTTTTTTTTAAACAAACACTATATTTCCTTAATGGGCTTTAGCTTCCTCTCAGGATCCTTGGATGTTGTTCTTAGTTGATTTTTTTACTTACTGTATATTTGCTTTTGATAATCCTATTTCCTCTTTAGTCCTTATCCACTATCATTAGATAATGTTTTCCAGGTGTATTTTACCCCTGCTTCTGTATTACAGAAAACAAGCCTCAATATCTGCTGAATCTACTAGATTTTCTAAACAAAAAACAAAAAATGAAACTTCTGTATGAAGGCAAATATCCCCATGCATAATTTTTAGTGATATGCTAAAAACACAAAAGTTTGTCCAATATTTTCCATTAAATTAGGCTTGTTTCTGAGTTGGAGGTGGCTCGATCATTTTCTCAAACTCAGTGTACACAAGACAGGATTTGTTTCCCCTTAAATTGTCACTTTCATCTTCTTTTTCTCTTTCAGTCCCAACTTCATTCTTCAGTCTTCTCTGCAAGTTGAGTTTTGGGCCTATTCTCTCTGATTCTTCTTTGCCTTGCTTGGCTCACATTACTACTCTAGCTGAGGTCTGTCAATTCTCTTTATAATGCTTTAAAAGGTGCGTTTTCTTTTCAAACAACACTCTTCATGCCTTGCTGATTGCACTGTTGTTTGTCTTCCAGACTGCTTGATTCTCTGCTTAAGTCCATTATAACTTTCTTAACTTTTCACTCATTTAATATTTCTGTTGGTGTGTTTAAATGTTACATGTAATCTTGTTTCTCTTTAGTAGCTTTTTCTATTTGACCATATTTAGGTTTTAAAAAGTCACAATGTATGTTTGAAAAACATAGAGAATATGAACAAGAGATAGATGGATCTACAGTATCTGTACACCTGTTGATTTCTTTTCATAATCTTTAACCTTACTTATCTTTTAATTGTTTTCCCCTATTTCATTCCATTCAATAAATATTCAACTTCTAAATTTCTATGATCATTTGCTGTTTTCATCTTCTTACTGTTCTTTCTTTCTTTCCTGGCTTTCCATGCATGAAATTCTTTTTTGCTTAGGTTTTGACAAGGTTTTGTTTTATGATGCTTACAGAAATTATTCAAAAAGTTATTCATGTCTTTATGCTTTTTTCAACTCTCATGTTTGTTCTTTGATTCTGTTATCAATTTAGTTATTGTATTGGGTTTTACATGTCTCTTTTTTCACTCTAGTCTTAGACAGCAATTTTTCTAGTTCCCCTTTTGTGGTTTGAAATTGGGAGCCTATAAGTATAGAAATACATATTTTATTTTAACACCATTTCTAATAAATTTAACTCCATACATAACCCATTTTAATTTACAGTACATCAATTTAATAGTTGCTCCTTTTGTACAGTTGAGTATATGGATTTAAACATTTTAAAACAGCTGTTAAGTATATACTTATTATATAAATTTACACTGTAATATTGGACTTTGTGGATTAAAGAAAAATCTTGAATCCCCAGGTGGACTGTACACAGCATTCTACAATCTGCTCAGAAAATCAGGTGCGCGGTTATCCAACTCTGCTTTGGTTCAGAGGTGGAGAAAAGGTAAGAATATTGCAAATTGGGCTTATTTGTGAAATTACAGATTTACTATTACAGAATTGCTTTGACTAGATTATCTTTCAGCCTACCTCAAATGTGATTATGAAAACCTGGCACTCTAGTTGTTGAAATTAAATCTTTATATTATTGAATAATAATACATAAGCACGTTAAGTGAAGATAAACTTTGTTGTAAGAGTTACAGTCTTATTTATGCTGAATTTATAAAAGCAATCTTTTCTGAACTCTGGATTTCACTAGGAAGATAAAAGAGGGTCATGGTAGCCTTCAGGCAAGGTCTAAATGAAGAAGTCTCATTGGAATAATGAGATCTTAGCTATTTTCCTCATAAAGGCCCAATAGTGTTCTACCTGTTGAATATGTTCTTTAGTTTAAGCCATTTCCTTTATTTTCTGGCACTGTCTTCTGCCATTTCAGATTCCTTCTCCTTGGAGTAAAAAAAAACCCAACTCTTCCTTTTGCTCATGTACAACTGCAGTCAAAATGCTGTTTCCCTCCCACCCCCAACTCCCCAAAAACCTCCAGTCTTGATTTTCTTAATGTCTGTTTAAACCCAATTAAACTGAATTCTGATTTCAGTACGACTCCCTCAGGTGTTGTTCAGCAAAGAATCATAGTCTAAACAGATTCAGATTTTCAAGGTTTTAAAAAATAATTAAACTAGGAATCCAGCTAAATCAAAGCCATTGGTAAAACAATACATTTATCAGCTATTGTATCCTGCAATAACTATTTAACATGATCATATTCTAATGGGACATTAGAAAATGTTTGCTAAGCTAGTAATAATTGTGTTTTGATTTTTAGATTGACCAATACAAAGGAAAGAGAGATTTAGATTCTTTGAAAGAGTATATTGAATCTCAGTTAAAAGATTCCAAGGAAGCCATGAATGAAGTTAAACCCACTAAAGCACCTTTACCAGAAATAACTCCTGAGGTAGGTTTTTGGAAGTTCTTGCATTAAAGGGTTTTTTTTTCCTCACTAAAAATTATTTTCTAAACTAGAGTTCTAGCCCAATTTAAAATATATGCCACTATTTTCAAAACCAAAGTAATTCCTCATTCTCACTTTGTTTAAGCTTTTCATATATTGTATGTATATTGAAATATAGTACGCTTACTTCCTCATGGATGGCAGCAAATTAAATTTCACTGCTTTTTTTTTTTACTCAGTCATTATCCTTGTGACATCATATTCTGTTGCCAGGTTGAGATACTCAGAAATATTTTCTGTCTTAGTATGTGACCCAGCAAAGTGACAGGGTACAAATGGATAGGTCAGACGGGAACGGGATAACAATAAACAAGACTATCCAAAAAGAAGAACCATGGGAAAACCAAGAGATCACTGGACCAAAAAAAGTAAAAAGTTCATTAGCATTTCCATAACTTTAAATTTGGTTCTTTTCGACATCTGTTCACCTGTCACAGTTTTAGCAGCAGAGGGCATAAAACAGGAAAGATGTTGCATCACTTTAAAAAAATAGCCAGTGTGGGATCAGAATGTTCCAGAGAACTCTGGAACATTCTATTTCCCTTTGGATTATGCTGTTCCTGGAGCTATCAATGTTGCATATCCACAACAAAGGGCTTATAATTAGGATCCTGGGTAAGACAATTTGATTCTAACCTTCATTTCTTTTGATAGGGCAAAGTTCTTTCCCTGTCTGAAAAAGACTTCGATAAAGAAGTGGCTAATGGGATCACTTTCATCAAGTTTTATGCTCCGTGGTAAGTTTTCAGAGAAGTATATTACAAGTATTAAACTTCTGTTTCTCCTGTTGTTGTGCAGCATATTGTACTAGACAAGGTACAATATTTCATCCTCTGGAATTGGAAAATATAGCAATAGAATAAATGATTAGTTTTATATATAGTTAGTTTCCTGTTCTTGTGAAATCAGTAGAATCCTTGAGCTAAATTGAAGTTACCCATAGTAACTTTTGATAGCTATGAATAATTTGTGGTTACAGTCTAATGTTAGCTATTAGGCAGAATTGTTTAATTTTATTAAAAGTGTAATGTAGTCTAGTAGAAAGTAGTTAACTTTCTATCTACTTAAATAGTTGTATAACTTCCACCTCAATTCATAAACCTCAGTGTTGAAATTTTTACTTGAGTGTTGATATACTGTATGAACCTCAAAGTTGCCTGTAACATACTTCGCCTGAAGTAGAATTAAGAATGGGTTTTTTTCCTGTTATCCAGCTGCATGTAATTCAGAGAATTGTTTGTTCCCTTGCAAGTATAGGATTTAATTTAATCTGTATCCATCTCAGAAAGTATAGGGCTATGTAGACTGTAATATGAGCATTTAGAAGGCTAATTCACACTTACATTTGTAAAGTTTCATTGCTTGAGAATGAATAGATACAGTAGTTTAACTTTGCTAAAAAAATTGATTGAATCAAGACAATCTTACAGTAATAGGAGTTAAATTAATGATGACATTGATTTCATTGGGTTGCTTCTGATTATGTTGGATTCAACAACGAATTATTTTAATAGACTTTAACTTTGTTGGTATTTTTGTAATAATCACATATACTTGAATGATTAAATATGAATCCCGAGATTTGCTTAGGATTCAGTGACTTCATGTCTGATTATAATGGGATCTAAATTTGTATCTGTTCAAGTAGTTTGAATCATACTCTAATTCAGAATAGACCATTTTGATGCACATATGTAACATTTGTGCTTATATGCATATTGCCTGAAGTTTCCCATCTGACTCTTCCTAGCAATACAACTTATAATAGGTGAAGAAATACTGAACTTTGGGGAATGGGTGTAACTATCTTTCACTTATAAAGCTATGATGGCATGAAATTGGCCCACATTCTTTTCTGTTTCATATGAACTATTACATATTAATTTAAGTAACCAAGATTATATGGAGGTTACTTCTGCTGTTTATTTTAACTAAATGTTTACATTAAGCTGAATAACAAGAAGTTCATCTTATCTTAGTAGCTTTCAATATACATGTTCCATGCCTGTAATGTACACACTGCATATATAATAAGCGTATTTAAAAGGACAATTTTATTATCTGAGATAAGGATAGGGAACAGATGGCAATGTATAAATGTACATTACAGAACAGCAGAATAAAGTCTTTTCCAGCTAGATGTCACGAGCATTTAATAATTTACATGTTACATTCAGCTTCTAACTGATAGTTTGTGAAAATTATTTTGTAAGAAGAATATTAATTTTATATGCTTGTTCCATTGCTATTTTTTATATGTGTGATCACTCTAGAATTTATATAGTTTAGAGCATAAAAGTGTTTAAAATTTACTGGAGTGAATCCATGATGTAACAGTTCAAATGGGAAAATTTATAAAAAAATAAATCAGATTTTCAATTGCCATTCTCAATAAACTATTTGCAAAAAAAAAAGATTAGAATATACTGCATATAGCATTGATTGAAGGATTTCTGATAAAGTTTAGTCCTAACTGTAACTACATTCCTTAAAGGAAATTTACCTAGGGAAATACCGGAAAGAAATGTAGCAATCAATATAACAGACAGAACTTCTCAAAACATTGACCTTATTTATGGATATATATCTATATCTATATCTATATCTATATCTATATCTATAGATAGATAGATAGATAGATAGATAGATAGATAGATAGATAGATAGATAGATAGATGATAGATAGATAATCAAGCAAGTAAAGGGAAGCTACTAGCTTAAATGAGAATAATCTTTGAAATAAATCTGTGTACAAAATATCAAGTATATACAAAGTACAGTGGTACTTAAACATTTGTGAACCCTTTGAATGTTTGCACTATTATGACCTAAAATGTTATCTGCTCTTCACACAAGCCCTAAAACTAGAGGTAGAGAACCCAGCAAAACAAATGAGTCAAAAGCGGTATATTTGTTCATTCATTTTTGACGAAAATGATCCAAAACTATATAGTTTGGTTCAACCAACTTTTAAGTACCACTTTGTTCACCATAAAACCTTTCATTTTTAATTGCCTTTTAGCTGCTGAAAAGAATATTGCACTACATTGTAACTTTTAATCATGCACTTGTATATGTAGCGTTTTACATACAGATGTACAAATGCTTTATTTCTGCCATTTAAAATTTAGGGTTGATACTAGAGCAGTAATGGTGAGTTTTTTGGGCTGTGTGTATCAAAAATTCAGAAAAGGCCTAACTTGACTCTGCTAGGGTGTCATTTCCCCCCCCCCCAAACAAAAGAGAAACATTATCAATCTCTTCTCCCCCCCCCCCCCAAAAAAAATCTAATCCACTCAGCACTGAGGCTGCATCTGAGGTAAAGGCCGGAACTTCAACTTCAGCCATTGTGCCATTGCTGCATCACACTGCTTCCCACGATCTACAAGTCTTGGGAAACAGCATGATTGCCCCCACAGCCCAGCGCTCCACAGGATCTGCCATGTGCCACTTTCCTTCAGGCAGTGTTGTCTTTGTGTTGATGAGCCCCTACAGCTGCCCTGGGTTGCACAAAGCCCCTCTTTTTGAATTGTCTTCGGAGAAGGCTCTTCCACAGCCTCTGCAGCCACCCAAAACTGCATGTACACCCCATTCTCATACAATTGTCAGAAGGTCTGGAGCACACCCCATTCTTGTTCAGCCTCCAAAAATAGCGTGAAAATAGGGTGTGTGCTGTTGAGAATAGTTGTCAGGAGGTGGCGACTGCTGCCGTGTTACCCAAAACATTGTGGCATGTCACCTTTTACACCTGTGCCATAGGTTCGCCATCACTGTACTAGAATCAGTGGGAAGATAATAGGCTTTGTCATCCCATTCAACAAAATTTAACTTCTTTTAAGGTACTTTAGAACAGGGGTCTCCAACCTTGGCAACGTTAAGACTTGTGGACTTCAACTCCCAGAGTTCCTCAGCCAGCTTGCTGGCTGAGGAA